GAGTACAAGCCATTGTGGTGGACAAAATACCAGTAGACCTACAAGTTCAAGGTCTGAGAGCAACAGCCAAATTCCTGAGAAATAGAGGAATAAAATTGGCAGATAATATTAAGTCTGATCACCTCACCGACTTCGGTCTCCTTGTAGGGACAGACTATTGCCATCGATTCATCGGTAGCCCTACTAAATATCAGGGCATAACCATGTTAAATTCTGCAGGAGGTAAATTACTCTCAGGCCCAGTATCAAGCCTGAGGAGACCTATGCCTGCAGATAAACAATACCAGTAGAAATCTAAATTTGTCAGCTGATTATATTTCTCCAGTAGCATTATACTAAGGAGATTACAGCTGACTATACCAACAGAGGTTGATGTTAGTATCATCATTTAAAGCTGAAGATGAGTTCATGAGGCCTCAGTGGCAAATCAGTGAACAGTAGCCTAAACAGCTACAAGTCACTGCGACCAATGTCACTGAACCCACTGCAGTCTCAGAACCATACTTTACTTTAATGATGGGCTATTCAATCTTCTGAATCAATTAACTAAATTAAACCCCAATAAATCTGATGACTGATTTGATACATTTATTATTTAATCAAGATGTATTCCATGGGCCTCAGTGTTTATATATCAGTGACCAGTTACCTGAACAAACTTCAAGTTATATCTAATGTCACTGATCTCACTGCAGTCCCTGAATCATACTTGACTGTAGTACTTGATCACATTCAGTCTTCTGGGTTAAATAATATGTAATTAGGCTTGAATTTTAGCCTTTCAAGAGTTAACAGGGAAATGAAATCGCATTAGACTTCTAACCCCTGCAACTCTAGTACGGGACATCCGTCCTGTACGAACAGACGCACAAATGTGTGATTACTAACTACTAACATCAAATTAATCTAATAATTCGAAGGAGGAGTATCGGTGTTCGTCTGTTCTAAATAGGACTTCGACCCGTGAGCAGCCCCTGGGGAATTATGTCGGAAAATCCGACACCATTTAATAATATCATACAGGCAGATAATATTGCTGTGTTGTATAAACAAGTTACCCATAGAAAATGTAACTTGTAGTGGAATTTCTGTCAATAGAAAACGGGATATCATTACCACATACTATTATAAATTCACCACCTATTATGGTGGGAATTATTCTTAAATACATTAGTCTTTGGACTTTACCATCATAAAAACATCTCATATAAATTAACTTAATTATCAATATTAAAATAGAGTAAATGTGACCCTTCTATCACTTACTGTCATCTGGACAATGTAGGCCAGGCGTCAGTGAGGAGGGAGTGGTCAGCCATTGTTATTGTTTAAGACCAGAGGCATGGGAGCAAATTCGGCTCCTGTTAATTTTACTTGGACGAAGTGTTATGGAAACCAAAGGTGTACCATCATCAACACGCTGTCAACAAATACAAGTTAAGTGTTCTGCCGAAACCCATTTATCTATCATTTATGGCCATTAATGTCATTAGATAGGGTGAGCCGGTTAGAATGAGATCGCCTCATACTAAAGGTAATTAAGCCTAGGTCTTTATGGTTGCTTGTACAGTGTTTTCTCTGATATAGCTGTCATATATTAGGATTCTGGCTTTACAGCTAGCGCCCTTTTGACAGGTCAAGACGAGGAAGCATGCTTTGTGTACCAGTTACTGGGTGATGGAAGCTACCTCAAAGAGGATAATTTGGTGTCTACATCCTGGTTATACCTGGTGGACTAAGGCCTGCTGTACAATAAGATAAGGAACCTCTTCAATGTTTAATAATGTGTAGTTAATACTGTAGTTTGATTGGCTGCATATATATATAAATTTAATATAAACCCCCCCTAATGTGTAGAGGATCGATTTGTGAGATTATTGCAGAAATACAGTCCACTTATCATCATACAAATTGCTATCGAAGTATATAAATTAATGTAAATATAAATTCATATAAATTAAATAAATATAAATCTCACAGGTCGGTTCCCACACCCACAGTGATGGGCTTCACCCACAGTGATTGGCTTCACCCACAGTGATTGCCTTCACCCACAGTGATTGGCTTCACCCACAGTGACTTGCTTCACCCACAGTGATTGGCTTCACCCCACAGTGATTGGCTTCACCCACAGTGACTGGCTTCACCCACAGTGACTGGCTTCACCCACAGTGATTGGTTTCACCCACAGTGATTGGCTTCACCCACAGTGACTGGCTTCACCCACAGTGACTGGCTTCACCCACAGTGATTGGCTTCACCCACAGTGACTGGCTTCACCCACAGTGACTCGCTTCACCCACAGTGACTGGCTTCACCCACAGTGACTGGCTTCACCAACAGTGATTGGCTTCACCCACAGTGACTGGCTTCACCCACAGTGACTGGCTTCACCCACAGTGACTGGCTTCACCCACAGTGATTGGCTTCACCCACAGTGATTGGCTTCACCCACAGTGACTCGCTTCACCCACAGTGACTGGCTTCACCCACAGTGATTGGCTTCACCCACAGTGACTGGCTTCACCCACAGTGACTGGCTTCACCCACAGTGACTGGCTTCACCCACAGTGACTGGCTTCACCAACAGTGACTGGCTTCACCCACAGTGACTGGCTTCATCCACAGTGACTGGCTTCACCCACAGTGACTCGCTTCACCAACAGTGACTGGCTTCACCCACAGTGACTCCCTTCACCCACAGTGACTCTATTCACCCACAGTGACTCGCTTCACCCACAGTGACTCGCTTCACCCACAGTGACTCGCTTCACCCACAGTGACTCGCTTCACCCACAGTGACTCGCTTCACCCACAGTGACTGGCTTCACCCACAGTGACTCGCTTCACCCACAGTGACTCGCTTCACCAACAGTGACTAGCTTCACCCACAGTGACTCTCTTCACCCACAGTGACTCGCTTTACCCACAGTGACTCGCTTCACCCACAGTGACTCGCTTCACCCACAGTGACTCGCTTCACCAACAGTGACTGGCTGTGACCACTAACAAGTAATCGTCAGAGCACAATTAACAACTTCGGGTAGTGAGTGGCATGATGACAACGGTGGCATGATGACAACGGTGGCATGATGACAACGGTGACATGATGACAACGGTGGCAGGATGACAACGGTGGCAGGATGACAACGGTGACCTGATGACAACGGTGACATGATGACAACGGTGGCAGGATGACAACGGTGGCATGATGACAACGGTGACCTGATGACAACGGTGACATGATGACAACAGTGGCAGGATGACAACGGTGGCATGATGACAACGGTCTCATGATGGCAACGGTGGCATGATGACAACGGTGTCATGATGACAATGGTCTCATGATGACAACGGTGTCATGATGACAACGGTCTCATGATGACAACGGTCTCATGATGGCAACGGTGGCATGATGACAACGGTGTCATGATGACAACGGTCTCATGATGACAACGGTGGCATGATGACAACGGTGGCATGATGACAACGGTGTCATGATGACAACGGTGTCATGATGACAACGGTGTCATGATGACAACGGTCTCATGATGGCAACGGTGGCATGATGACAACGGTCTCATGATGACAACGGTGTCTAGATGGCAACGGTGGCATGATGACAACGGTGGCATGATGACAACGGTGTCATGATGACAACGGTGGCATGATGACAACGGTGGCATGATGACAACGGTGGCATGATGACAACGGTGTCATGATGACAACGGTCTCATGATGACAACGGTGGCATGATGACAACGGTCTCATGATGACAACGGTGTCTTGATGACAACGGTCTCATGATGGCAACGGTGGCATGATGACAACGGTGTCATGATGACAACGGTGGCATGATGACAACGGTGGCATGATGACAACGGTGTCATGATGACAACGGTGGCATGATGACAACGGTGTCATGATGACAACGGTTTCATGATGGCAACGGTGGCATGATGACAACGGTGGCAGGATGACAACGGTGGCATGATGACAACGGTGGCATGATGACAACGGTGGCATGATGACAACGGTGGCATGATGACAACGGTGTCATGATGACAACGGTGTCATGATGACAACGGTGGCATGATGACAACGGTGGCATGATGACAACGGTGGCAGGATGACAACGGTGTCATGATGACAACGGTGGCATGATGACAACGGTGGCATGATGACAACGGTGGCAGGATGACAACGGTGGCATGATGACAACGGTGGCATGATGACAACGGTGGCATGATGACAACGGTGTCATGATGACAACGGTGGCATGATGACAACGGTGGCATGATGACAACGGTGGCATGATGACAACGGTGGCATGATGACAACGGTGGCATGATGACAACGGTGGCATGATGACAACGGTGGCATGATGACAACGGTGTCATGATGACAACGGTGGCATGATGACAACGGTGTCATGTGACAACGGTTTCATGATGATGGCATGATGACAACGGTGGCAGGATGACAACGGTGGCAGGATGACAACGGTGGCATGATGACAACGGTGGCATGATGACAACGGTGTCATGATGACAACGGTGGCATGATGACAACGGTGGCAGGATGACAACGGTGGCAGGATGACAACGGTGGCAGGATGACAACGGTGGCATGATGACAACGGTGGCATGATGACAACGGTGGCATGATGACAACGGTGGCATGATGACAACGGTGGCATGATGACAACAGTGGCAGATGGCAACGGTGGCATGATGACAACGGTCTCATGATGACAACGTTGTCTAGATGGCAACGGTGGCATGATGACAACGGTCGCATGATGACAACGGTGTCTAGATGACAACGGTGGCAGGATGACAACGGTGGCATGATGACAATGGTGGCATGATGACAACGGTGGCATGATGACAACGGTGGCATGATGACAACGGTGGCATGATGACAACGGTCTCATGATGACAACGGTGGCATGATGACAACTGTCTCATGATGACAACGGTGTCTAGATGACAACGGTCTCATGATGGCAACGGTGGCATGATGACAACGGTGTCATGATGACAACGGTGGCATGATGACAACGGTGGCATGATGACAACGGTGTCATGATGACAACGGTGGCATGATGACAACGGTGTCATGATGACAACGGTTTCATGATGGCAACGGTGGCATGATGACAACGGTGGCAGGATGACAACGGTGGCATGATGACAACGGTGGCAAGATGACAACGGTGTCATGATGACAACGGTGGCATGATGACAACAGTGGCAGGATGACAACGGTGTCATGATGACAACGGTGGCATGATGACAACAGTGGCAGGATGACAACGGTGGCAGGATGACAACGGTGGCAGGATGACAACGGTGGCATGATGACAACGGTGGCATGATGACAACGGTGGCATGATGACAACGGTGGCAGGATGATAACGGTGGCAGGATGACAACGGTGGCAGGATGACAACGGTGGCATGATGACAACGGTGTCATGATGACAACGGTGGCATGATGACAACAGTGGCAGGATGACAACGGTGGCAGGATGACAACGGTGTCATGATGACAACGGTGGCATGATGACAACAGTGGCAGGATGACAACGGTGGCAGGATGACAACGGTGGCATGATGACAACGGTGGCATGATGACAACGGTGGCATGATGACAACGGTGGCATGATGACAACGGTGGCATGATGACAACGGTGGCATGATGACAACGGTGGCATGATGACAACGGTGGCATGATGACAACGGTGGCAGGATGACAACGGTGTCATGATGACAACGGTGGCATGATGACAACGGTGGCAGGATGACAACGGTGTCATGATGACAACGGTGGCAGGATGACAACGGTGGCAGGATGACAACGGTGGCATGATGACAACGGTGGCATGATGACAACGGTGGCATGATGACAACAGTGGCAGGATGATAACGGTGGCAGGTTGACAACGGTGGCAGGATGACAACGGTGGCATGATGACAACGGTGTCATGATGACAACGGTGGCAGGATGACAACGGTGGCAGGATGACAACGGTGGCATGATGACAACGGTGTCATGATGACAACGGTGGCATGATGACAACAGTGGCAGGATGACAACGGTGGCAGGATGACAACGGTGGCATGATGACAACGGTGGCATGATGACAACGGTGGCATGATGACAACGGTGGCATGATGACAACGGTGGCATGATGACAACGGTGGCATGATGACAACGGTGGCAGGATGACAACGGTGTCATGATGACAACGGTGGCATGATGACAATGGTGGCAGGATGACAACGGTGTCATGATGACAACGGTGGCATGATGACAACGGTGGCATGATGACAACGGTGGCATGATGACAACGGTGGCATGATGACAACGGTGGCATGATGACAACAGAGTTTAGATAGGTGTGGGAGAGTTTAGACAGGTGTGGGAGAGTTTAGACAGGTGTGGGAGAGTTTAGACAGGTATGGGAGAGTTTAGACAGGTATGGGAGAGTTTAGACAGGTGTGGGAGAGTTTAGACAGGTGTGGGAGAGTTTAGACAGGTCTGGGAGAGTTTAGACAGGTATGGGAGAGTTTAGACAGGTGTGGGAGAGTTTAGACAGGTGTGAGGAGAGTTTAGACAGGTGTGAGGAGAGTTTAGACAGGTGTGAGGAGAGTTTAGACAGGTGTGGGAGAGTTTAGACAGGTGTGGGAGAGTTTAGACAGGTGTGAGGAGAGTTTAGACAGGTATGGGAGAGTTTAGACAGGTGTGGGAGAGTTTAGACAGGTGTGAGGAGAGTTTAGACAGGTGTGGGAGAGTTTAGACAGGTGTGGGAGAGTTTAGACAGGTGTGGGAGAGTTTAGAGTTTTTAGACAGGTGTGGGAGAGTTTAGACAGGTGTGGGAGAGTTTAGACAGGTGGGAGAGTGACAGGAGAGTTTAGACAGGTGTGGGAGAGTTTAGACAGGTGTGGGAGAGTTTAGACAGGTGTGGGAGAGTTTAGACAGGTGGGAGAGTTTAGACAGGTGTGGGAGAGTTTAGACAGTTTAGGTGTGGGAGAGTTTAGACAGGTGTGAGGAGAGTTTAGACAGGTATGGGAGAGTTTAGACAGGTATGGGAGAGTTTAGACAGGTGTGGGAGAGTTTAGACAGGTATGGGAGAGTTTAGACAGGTATGGGAGAGTTTAGACAGGTGTGGGAGAGTTTAGACAGGTATGGGAGAGTTTAGACAGGTATGGGAGAGTTTAGACAGGTATGGGAGAGTTTAGACAGGTGTGAGGAGAGTTTAGACAGGTATGGGAGAGTTTAGACAGGTGTGGGAGAGTTTAGACAGGTGTGAGGAGAGTTTAGACAGGTGTGAGGAGAGTTTAGACAGGTATGGGAGAGTTTAGACAGGTATGGGAGAGTTTAGACAGGTGTGGGAGAGTTTAGACAGGTGTGAGGAGAGTTTAGACAGGTCTGGGAGAGTTTAGACGGATGTGTGTGTGTGAGATTTTTCTCTACGCCTACCTCCCTTAGGAGGTGGACTACAAGTTTAAAGGCTGCTCACGGCAGTTAAGCATGAGTCCAATAGAAAAAGGAAAAGCGGGAGCAAACCGCCAGGCCTCCACCACCAGGGGTGAAAACCTGTCCACAATAGGCCGCTGGCTCCTTCTAGTTAAACAGGACGTTAAAACTAATAAAGGGTAACCGACGGGTTCTCACAATCAAATATTTATATTTGATGTGGCGCTATGAATTGGAATTCGAATTCCCAAGAACAGCCGTCATATCAAGATCACATCAACATTTAATAATATGCAGAAATATGGTGTAATAATATGGTTGAAGAGTTGACATCAAAGACCGTTTTCTATAACATAACAATTTATTAATAACAAGAGACTAACTACTACATTACCGAGTTTACGTTACGTTAATGTCCATCCAGTGGCACGATAACAAACAGCTAAATAGCAACCCTTGCTGTGAGGCTGCATGCTGAACTAACCTGAACACAGGTGTGCCCACTGATGACGCAATATTGCAAATCAAGGAAAAATATCACAGACTAAGTTACACCACAGTGAATGGTTACGTTATTGTACATAAAGTGGCATTTGCAACACAGCTATTCAACAGCCCCTCGAGAAGTGACAGTAGGCTCCATCTTGCTGACACTTCGGGCTGACAACATGAACTAACTGAACAAATGAAGGATCCACTGAAGACACAAGCATGCGATCAATAGTGTCACGGTTTCCCTGACAGCTACTATAATCACAAGCTTAGGGGTCCTCCCGCCCCCCAGGAGAGACCCACGTAACTAGGCGGGTAGTCCAACAGTGACTCCCCCCTATCACAACCCAGTGTGAACACTCTTTGCAACTCCCTACAAGAAGTTGCCCTGTAAACAGTAACAAAGACAGGCAAGGCGGGATTCTGGGACACAGCTCCACAAATCCCTAGATGACTCTGCTCTCGTCACCAGACGACAACCAAAAGAAATTGCCTTAAGTGATTAATTACGTTAATTGACTGATCGCAGCAGTCAGCAACAAAGTACTACGGTAATCACAAACAATTGTCTCACACTAGACAACAACATGATGATACTCTACGTTAATCCTTAACACTTGTCTCTCTTGTTAACAATAACTCAAACTTATATTACATCACACTTGACTCCTTGCAAGTATTCAGTGAGTAATCCTCAATTAAGGTCAAACGGACCACTAATTACATCCCCATTGAGTTACGTTAACTAAGCCTACCCTAACTTGGTAGCCTCTCAACAGTCTGTGTCAAAAATTTACAAGTGAGTGTTAATTACCCTAATTAATTCCCCAATTAATTCTGAGCAATTAATTAACTGTCACCAGGACCGATAATTAATCATCCATAAATACGTCTCACTCCGCACTGCCTAAGCAGGTCTCATCAAACACTGAATTCACGGGAAAGGAGTTAATTACCCCTAATTAACAAGATGTGCCACTAATCCACTGTCCTCAGACAGGATATGATTAATACAACGATTTATGCTAGCTCCATGACCTCGCTTTACCGAGTCCTCGGAGCTCTCCAATGTTAATTACTCCACTAATTAACCTGAGCCACTAATTGCTATACCCCAGGAAGGTAATTAGTCTCGAGCAAATTACGTTAACACAAATACTGACAGACTCTGACAGATCCTCTCCCACTACGTGAATTCATGATGAGAAGGCTAATTACATAATTAGCTAGAGTGGTCAATTAGTTGTCACACGGACAATTAATTGCTCCCGAGACGTATCTCACTCAAGCTCAACGCTGTTCTCTCTCATAACAGCCCTCACTCACTCCACAATAAGTGTGCACCCCTTATCCAGTTAATTCCCCAATTATTAACTCACTGAATCCTTAAGTCCTCAACACAACTTAAAGAAACAAAGTAACCCCAGCGTTACATAGGTCACACAACAATGGCATGCAACAATACAAATGCACTGCCCACATATGGTTGCGGCACCTGCAACTCGCTAATTACTGTGCCCACACAATAATGACACACGGTTGTGCAACACACAAGAGTATACCAATATTACTGCCCCCCTCTTATCTTGCAACCGTTGCAAAGGACTACTGTGAACACACACTTACCTCAGCAAGGCAATTAACCAATCAATTGCCTGCTCTCATTAAGTACTGTGAATTCCCCTGAATAATCCTAGAGGTCCCTTAAACCCTCAACACAGTTCTCCGGGCAATAATATCGTATAAACTGGTAACAATACTGCACAAACCTGCAACATGATGATGCCGTCAGCATACCCCACATGCTAATGACATCATTAGGCAATCAGTCAGCAATCACATCTACTGACTTACCACACAACACAGTACATAAACATGCAAATGAACACATAGAAATGGCATTCACATAATCAATGAAAATTATATCATCAGGTAAATGTAACTAACTACACAGACCTCAGGGTACCCACTGACATCCCTGCAACCTGGCCTGCCTACCTCTAATGATTATAATTTTACGGTACTCTATGGCATTAATCCAGTCTGAACGATTATATAGAATCGACAGGCTGGATCACTTATATGGTAAATCTCTACACTGACCGGTTACATACTCGAGTCAGTCTACATACATATACATTATGATACTACAGTGTGGTCCCGTGTATAACATCTATCTCCAGGTACCGCCCTACCAGTCACCTGGACGTGCTACACACAACTGTCTCTCAGGTGCTTCTCTAGCCTGGCGAAGCTCTGAGACAACTCTTACCGGTAATTTCCACCGGTACTCATCACACTGTACACAATGATAATAGTACTCACGTCTTTCTCTCCTTATTTTTTTTTTTTACTCATTTCCCAGGTCACTACCACACTAGCTGTCAACACTTAGCTTGCTCCTCATGCGTCGACAAGATGTGGCCCTAGGCTGTCCCGGGAAAGTGGCCAAGGCATGTGGCCACCGCGTGGCCAACAGCACCCCTCCCGAGTTGAGAGGGGGGGTGGGGGTGGTAGCCGGCGCGCGGGCTGGCGGGTGGGTAGCCGGCGCGCGAGCCGCGAGCGGCGGGGTAGCCTGGGGGTGGCCACGGTAGCGCATGACGTCATAGCACCCCATCCGGCTGAGCTGGTGCGTGGGGTGGGGTGGGGTTTGGCCGCGCGGGTGGGTGGCCCCCCCCCCCCCGGGGAGCTGGCCAAGGTGGGTGGCCGCGGGCGGCCTGGGGTGGCCGCGCACATGGGTGCCTCGGGCAGGCAGGCTGCCGCCCACAGGCGTACACACGCGAATGGGGAATCACTAACAACCCCATCAAACCAGAGCCTGCCTTGCTCTACACTGGGGTGACAATGGCCGGCGGCGTCACCACCGGGCGGACCAACAGGGTGGAATTCAAAGTCCCACAGGGGCCTGTAATCACACCACAATTACACTAGGAGACCCTGCTCGATTCCGCTAATTGCCCAACAACACTAGACAGGTTATTCAAACCACCTGTTACACCATGAGGCTCTGCCAGCTGCCTCATGGGTTAACACTGCAACTGTCTCTTAGTTTGTCACATCGGCCCCAATTTCATGCAAATTTGGGCCTAGACACAACCCGGGATGGCAGGAGTGCCATGCTCGCTGAGTAATTTGGACAACAGAAGCGATTAACGGGGTGGAGGTGGCCGGCCTGCCACCTCCACCAGTCACTTCTTCCTCCGCTTGCCACCCAATTCAAAACTCACTCTCTGGCGGGCAGGGAAACTCAAATGCCCATACCTCCTCCCTTACTTTGTCTTGACCAATCAGCCCAAAGCCAGCACGGCTCCCTCGTGCCGCTCCCAATCACAGCTCTTTGTGCCAAAACTCGGCTTGGAGCACACATGCCT